ATTAGCAATTTCACGCTTAATCAAACTTGGATCTTCACTAACAATATTATGAACTTGGTCAATGATTTCAGGTATGGTGGCGGTTTTTTGTCGTCCTTCGGGTGGATCATCTTCCAGCCTAGTACGACCACATTTAAATTCATTAGCCCAAAATTAAGCGGTGCGTTTTGAAAGTAAAGACTCCTTATACACTTCTAACAATTGTTCATAAATATCCTTTGCTTTTAAACCTTTCAAAATAAAGAATCTAATCACTGCGCGATATTCAGTTTTTTCCATATTAAAAAAATACTCTGACACGTCAATTTCAATTGGCTTGTAAACAAATAATTAATTGACAGAATGACTTGTAACTTTGCATGACTTCTCACGACAAATGTACCAACTTGAGAAAATAAAATTGGAGCTAGTAGTGCTATTTCTTGGTGAGAGAGAAACTTTTCAACTAACCTGTATGTTCAAAACCGGCAGTAATAAGTAAGGAAGGGCCTAAGTTCGGGTATAACCAAACATTTCATACTCTTGCAACTTGCAAGGATCAAGGCAGGGGAAATACCTTCAAATTGGCAAAACTTTATATTAAGAAATGCAGCGCAAATCAAGTTCATTGTTCGACGAAATGGTAAATGGATTACAATAAAATTTGGTATCATACTCACTTATTTTGAAGGTCATAGACTCACTTGGTTGTATGACTATATATTATCTCCCGTCAGCGAAAACTATACTAAAATTATTGGAGGCATTGAAATGAAAGGGCTGATTACATTAATTTTTGACATTGAGCATGTGTTCTTGAGAACTTATTAACAAGCAATTTTATGTATATATAAATATTGTAGCGAACACATAAACTGCCAGAAGCACCTGCGAATTCGTAGTTGCCAGAATGTTCTAGTAGCGAACTTAAAATTTCGAATTAAAAGATCGTCTCCGCCAAGGTAAAACCTGCATCCTTTGATGGCACTATTCCGTTCCATATTTTTAAGCTTCAATTCGAAAAGACGGCGTCTTCAAATAGTTGGAACGGTGAAGATAAAGTAGCTGCATTGTTCGTTACATTTAAAGGATTTGCAGCGGAGATATTACAGACCATTCCAAACTGCGAGGCGAGTAGTTATGAAACGTTGTTGGGTGCATTAGAAAGACGGTATGGTAGTGAGCACAGGAAGAAGTTCTTCCATATGGAGTTGCGAAATCGCCGCCAGAAAGCTAATGAGTCGTTGCAGGAGTTTGCTACAGAGATTGAGAGGGTAGCTTACTTAGCTTATGCACATATATCCGTGGAATACATCGAGGACACGCAAATTCAGACCTTCGTCAATGGAATACGAGATTACACTACACGCTTCGCTGCGTTATCATGTCCAAAATTGACGTTTGCGGAAACCGAAAAATTGACAACATGCTGAAAGCACTGGAAAAAGCTACGGAAGCGCATAAGAAAAATGATGGTGTGGTTATATGCTTTAACTGCAGAAAAAGTGGCCATATGAACGTAACTGTAACCAGCCCAATAATCCAGTTGGACGTAAACACAAAGCTGAGGAAGATCAAGCAAATGTCAAATTCAACCAATCGTTAAACTAAAGCGAGCCAGCCGAAAAAGATATCGGCTAGCTCCCGCAAGCAAATGCCCTGTAATCTCCATTTCACAAATAAGCAGGAATACGAGTAACGTTACCGTTAGTGGATTTGCAGACGGCGAAGCGCATACTGACTGTGGATACGCATGCATTACATTCCATAATTCGATCTGGTCTGGTTGATAAAGAAGTGAGACCATTAGCTGGGCAAAGTCGCGTACTGCAACTGGAGAAGATACCCAAGTTCTCGGAAAAGTAACGTTGGATATCGTAATTGGAAAGACAGCGGTGTTACACAATTTTATAGTGGCAGATATCGTCGACGATAATAAGTACAACGTAAGTGATAATAACAACAGAGTCAGCCGATTCCACCAAAATCAGTTATTTGGGCAGATGGAGACTATGGGTCGAACAAGTGGTAGATTGTTGAGGCCACAAAAGCATCTACACCAAACTTACTTATAGGCAAAAACTGCGGCAATGTTAGCATACCCGATCCCAGGATCAACGTTTATTTTGGATACGAATGCTAGTGGATTTGCAATAGGAGACGTTCTATCACAAGTCATTGATGGGCATGAAAAAGTGGTTGCGTATTACAGCCAGACCATAAGCAAGCCAGAGAGAAATTATTTTGTTACTCGGAGTAATTACTGGCGTTGGTGAAATGAATCAAACATTTTCATAAGTACCATTATGACTAGCGATTTTGAGGGAGGACAGATCATGCAGCATTAAAATGGCTTCTACAATTCAGGAACCCAGAAGGACAGTTGGCGCAGTGGATTGAGAGACTCCAAAGTTACGACTTCTCTATAGAACATCGCAAAGTTAGTAGTCATGGAAATGCTGATGCCATGTCCCGCCGTCTATGTAATTTGAAATGTAGACATTGTTCGAAAGCTGAGGCCAAAGAAGACATTATAGATGTCCGATTAATGACTACAACAACAGACTGGAATCCTGAGGAGCTACGGAAATGTCAGCAAGAAGATTTCTGGCTGCTTGCCTCGCGTATAGGAAAGCGAAGATGAGCAAATTTCCCGAGCTCTGATGATTGTTCCGAAAGTAAGAATTCCCGAAGTTCTCAATGAGCTGCACAACGGTCCAAGTGGAGGACACATGGGTATCAATAAAACCTTGGAGAAATTAAAACAAAGATTTTATTGGGTTTGTTGTCGTCAATCAGTTACGGAGTAGATCGCCAATTGTATCGAGTGCATTGCTGCTAAAGGGCCGAGGTCCAGAAGTCATGGTCAGATAAGGCAGTACAATTCAGGTGCGCCGTTTGAGCGAGTAGCCATGGATGTAGCTGGTCCATTTCCTATCAGTAAATTAGGAAACCAATATGTTTTGGTAGTCATGGACTATGCCAGCAAATGGTCATACGGCAGGAACAGTAGCGGATATATTCACCAACAATTGGGTATCGAGATATAGGGTTCCAATAGAATTACATTCTGACCAAGGAAGAAATTTTGAATCCGCTCTAATACAGGAGATATGCCAGAAGCTGGGTATCCGGAAAACCCGTTATAAATATTTGAGAAAAGTTGTGGACAAGTATCAAAACGATTGGGATACCCATATATCCTTGTTCCTGATGGCTTATCGGTCTGCTGTACATCAAACAACGGGGCAGACTCCAGCAAGGGTAATTTTTGGTAATGAACTTCGACTACCGATTGATTTGAAATTTGGAATTAACGCCAACGGAGGAAGGAATGCTAAGGAATTCAACAGCATCCTAGAAGATGAGATGAGGGATATACATGTTATGGCGAGACAGCGAACCAAAATTATGAGCGATAAAATGAGAGCAAAATACGACAAGGCAATGAACTCTGAGGGTTTTATTTAACCCACAACGAAAGAAAAGGTTATCTCCCAAATTACCGTGTAATTGGAAAGGACCATACCAGGTTATGAAACGACTTAATAATGTAGTGTATCACATACAGACCATTGGAAGACCAAGGAATAAAATGAAGGTGGTTCATCTGGAAGGACTTGCGGTGTTTGCTACCGCAATATGTCTAATCGGGACGATCAGACTTAGGTGGAGGGCAGTGTAGCGAACACGAATACCAATTTATTCTAATACAAATTAGAATCGACGATAAACTGTCAGAAGCAAATGCGAATTCGTAGTTGCCAGAATGTTCTAGTAGCGAACTTTTGTTAAAGATTTACTACCACAGACATTTCTAATTACAGTAATGCCGTGTAAAGAACAATTAAACTGTAAGTAATAAGTTGTAAACTCGAATAGCGAGAAATAAGTGTTAAGTTGTTGGAATTGGTAAGATAAGTGTATAGCATTAAATTGGGACTTCAATCCAGTGATCGAGCTCAAGAGTGAGTATTAGTTAGACGACGTTAGGTATATGAGAGCTAAGGGAATTATTGATCGGATTCAACCCATTTTTGACACAAGGGTATATTGTTATCCGAAAACATTGATGCAGGCATACTTTAAAGGAAATATTCATGCAAATTTTATCCCAATAGTTTAATTAGTGCATGATTTGTATACCAGGAAGTGAAAAAATTAGGAATATCAAAATAATCCTATGTACCAAATTTTGTTGAAATTGGTGGAGTATGTTCGGAGATATGTGATTTCACCTAAATGTTGGCGGTGCCACGTCCTTTGTCCAATTTTGGCACTTGCTCCTATATAGTCCTTTTGTGTCATCCCGGATGTAAAATTTAATATTTCTGGCGCATTGCTTTATCGCAGTTTGAGCAGTTTTTAATAAAACGTTATACGGGGACTAGGATGGTTATCATCCGATTCCACCTATTTTCATCCTGTCGCAAGAGGTGTCGAAATGATATGTCTTGTGCAAATTTGGGTGATATAGCTTGAATAGTTTCCGAGATATATACATTAAACCTGTTAGAGGAAAGGGGCCACGCCCACTTTAAGAAATTTTCAAACCGCAGGGGCCGCTCATTAATGCGGGTTAGTTGCGGCAATTTTTAAGTTTTAGATTTATGGCGTTTTATGGGCGTAGCAATTTTCCGATTACGCCCATCTTTGAACTCGTCGTCACTTTTTTTGCCAAGGAACATATGTACCAAGTTTCTTTAAGATATCTCAATTTTTACTCATGTTATCGCTTGCACGGACGGACAGACAGACAGTCACTCGGATTACAACTCGTCTGAACATCCTGATTATTTATTATAACGGGTGTTTTTATCATATTTTTACTGTTAGTTGCAGCTTAAAAGCTGAAATAGTTAAAAGAAAAGTCACTTCAAAGTGAAAACATTTCATTGTACAAATTGTTTTTAGTTCACTGTATGTATACGCTTTGAATAAAATATTTATCTGACACCAATTTACAACTTGTATTTAAAATGGAATCTTAATGTAATTTAATATTTAATTATTGTTTTCAGCGTAAACTCGCTCGTATTTCGTTATCACCGACGGAATGTTACCAAAAAATAGCAAATTTATATGCGTAACACGCGCACGTTAATACACCGTCATAAACCCACACAACATTTAAGAAGGTACAACTAAAAAGTCAACAACAACATACAAATAACCACAGAGACAGCGCTATCACATTACCAGCCCCGCAAGATGCATCAAGTACTGAGCTATGAGACCGCTGTACGTGCTAACAGTTCCCGCGAGTTCCGCGAGTATGTCACCAAGCGCACTTGCGTCAGTCTCGTGCTTACAATCGCCTTCCTGACGCTCATACTGGGTGAGTATGTGTCCAGCATTGTAAAAGATTTTTTATGACTTTGGCTTTTCGCTACGTTATGAATTTAAATTTAAATTATTTTCCACAGGCTATTTGCTGGGCAATTTCGTGTCGGAGCGTAAATATCAAATGCGACTGAACAAGGCGGCTGGTAAAGGAGTTGCACCGCCACACACGGTGGAAATCACCAGCGCTGATTATGCAAATCTCAAAGAAATCAATGCTTACCAAAAGAACAAAGACAAGCTATTGAGCTCAGCACAATCGCTGAGTAAGATACTGAAACGCGATCAAAGCTATCCGGCGAGTTCCATCAATACGGACATATTCAACAAGTACATATCGTGCACACAGGATATACCGCCCAGCACCAGCATTGAATCCAGCCAATTCATCGAGCAGCTGGTGGATAATACGGCAGCGCGGCAACGCGATTGTTTGCGAGTGATACAACTCATTATTGATAATCACATGAGCGGTGGCACGAACTGAACATAAAGCGGGATGTCACGCATGCAGAGTGCAATGTAATAAGGCAGCGGGTGCAAAAGTCAGCGTAACTCCAAGAGGACTTTTAGAGTGTGCTTAAATAGGCAATAACAGTTGATTTGCGTTGAAATGAGCGTGGCTGATTATGATTTTATACATACATATGTATATGTTAAAGTTCTCGTATATCGACATATTTCATAGTGGGCCAAATACTTTTTTATAATATTAATGTATATTATTTTTGTAAAGATTTTTTCTAAATATACATATACTACATAGTAGTTGCATCACATATTGACAACACACATACATGTCATATATACACATAGCAAACAGTCCAGTCAAATATGCAAGTTGTGTGCTTTTCAGCGTACAACCTGCGCAGTAACACGTCACCCCCGGTAGAAGCGAGCGGTGGCGGCGTGTTTTTACAAACCACCATTGGGAATGAAAGAGGCTTTTAGCAAGAGTAAATGTTGTTCTAAATACATAATGCATACCAATTAACTTGAAGAATTTATACTAACACAGGCAAATGTGAATATATATGTACATACACACACACACACACATATGTCCATAATAAATATTCAAATCTAAAGCAAAAACATTTTGACCGAAAAAACAGTTTGAAAATAAAAACACTTCCAATGCGTTTATTATTCTTGAATGTGCTAAATGCTTACTTAAGGGAGTTCTTACATATGTTGGTGCCTACATTTTGTATGTGTATGCGTGCTTGTCGCTTTATGAATATGTACATGTGAATTGCTGTACATAATGGTTATAAATTGAATTTACATATGCCGATGTTAAAGTGAAGATCTGTACTATGCCACGTACACATAAAAAGGACTATACATATTAGGGTGTGTCATTTTTCTTAAAATTGGTTTTTTTAGTATAAAATAGTAAAGAATAATTTTTCAGTTAATTTTTGCAATGCTCACATATCCAACTACAAAAATCATTTTAAAAAAAGGTCGGCTATAATACCATTCACAGGTACATTTTTTATAGCATAAAAGGGTATAAAAAATCTGTATTTTGTTTTGGATCGGTCAGTTTGTATTACAGCTAAATGCTATAGTAATCTGATCTGAACAATTTCTTGGGATATTGTACTGCTGTCTTGAACAATAATCCATTCCAAATTTACAAAAGTTTTTCATACAAGGACTGAATTTTAAACGATCAATTTATATGGCAGTGGTCCGATAGTTTCTTTGGGAGAAAAGGATTCCAAATTTTAGATCGATACCTGGAAAAGCAAAGTACTAGTTCGCGTTTATACCGACAGACGAATCATGCTGATTCTTTATATATACCTATATATATTTAAATGGTCTCCAACGTTTCCTTTTGGGTGTTACAAACTTCATGGAAAATTTAATATAAGCTGTTCAGAGTATAAAAATTTCTAATATTATTTAAATGGAAAATGGAAAGTTAGGAAGAGGCTTCTTTTTTACCTTCTACTTTTTACTAGAAAATAAAATTACCTACACACCCTAATAAATATGTATGTATTTGAACACATTACAATTTGTTTCCACTTATAACAATTTTGAAGTCCCCCTGGCACTGAGGACATTATTTAATTATTTAAGAGGTAAGAATTTTTTACATGTACACAAAAAAGAAAAAACAACAATTGGTTATTATAGTATTAAGAATTCTGACTGTATTTAAACGAAGCAGAGATTAATGGCTGAAAAGGTAGCGAAATTAATAAATTATTAAATATAAATGTGAACCAAAATATTAAAAGAGATTGTGAAATGATTTTGATTACGGTTTAAATATGTTGAGAGAAATCATAAAGCGAAGTACAAGAAGTTTTGTTATAAATTGGTTGTATCGGTGAGCGATAAGGGGGTCGGTAACAATATTATTTAGTTTTAAGTGTAAAAATTTTTAAAGTAAGGCTCAAAAAGCTCATTGTACCATAACATTCAGTATTTACTGCCGTTATTTACATATATGTATATTTAATAGAAATCTTTCAAAAAATGTTTCTCTTCACTTTCCAATCTCATTGAATTTGAATGTGCGAATTATGGATTATTGTCCAAGGGAACGCTACAATCTCCGAATAAATTGGAGCTAGCCAAACGTTTTTTGTTGAATGCAACCCTTTCGCCGGTTACGTTTGCGAATTTAGCTATACTTGTACATATAGTTGCTATAAGAAACACACCTGTTAGGGGTATTTTATCTTCGGTGCAGTCGAAGTTATTGTTTTTTCTTGGTTTTAGGAGAACAAAAACCGGCCAAGCTAAGTTACTTTACCCAACAAGTGTTCGCAGAGATTTTAATAGAAAAAAAATCTCATAGAATAATTGCGAGATGAGCAATTGCGTCACATCAGCGGTGGCTTCGGACAAGGCTTAACGAGTCAATTCTAATAAGTCTGGTGTAACGCTTTCAGACTCTGTCATTGATAAAAATTTTTGTGTATACATACATATACCATATAAGGGTTTTTTTGGGAAAACAATCAGAACAAATGTTCGGTGGAACATGGTCATAAAATGCGTTTTGTTTTTTAATTTTTTTTTTTTGCCTTCGTTCGGGATTTGAACCAAAGGTTTACCCATTGATTGTCCCACCCTCAAAGCCCTTTATCACAGCGGCTGCAAATATTAAAATATTAGCTCTTCCTCATGGTAATAGCGAATTTTTTAATGCTTAAAACCGGATCACAGTTGTGTCAGAGTCCAATTTGATGAGTGCGTCTCTTCCTTTTCTTTTATCTTTGTTGTCTCTTCCTCTAATTCCACCTGAAAGACATATTCCTCAACATTAATGTTTTTCGCTTCCATGGCCTCTCGCAAACGAAATTGTAATTCAAATTTTAATTCATTTGTCCCCAAACCACAAGGAGCTGGAGCAACCTTTTTAAGATCGTTAAACTTGGCCATTTTCAAATAATTACCTCCTTGGGAATTTATTTGACAATTCCACTTCTGACACCAATTGTAACAGATTTCTCGATAAATCGTCTACCTATAATTCACTCTTGAGTTCGATCACTGGATTGTTAAATAAAAGTCCTAATTTAATGGCTATACACTTATTTTTATTTCTAATTCTAACTTAACACTTATTGCTCGTAATTCGAGCTTACAACTTCTTGCTTATGTCTCAATTGCTCTTAACACGACACCACTCTAACTAGAACTGTGTCTGCTGCACAATCCGGTAGCCCTTATATAGTAGATTTGTACCAAAACTTCGCCTCTAGAACATTCTGGTAACTACGAATTCGCTGTCTAGTTGGTTATGGCAGTTTATCGTCGATTCTGATATGTTGTAGTAGATGACTTGAGTGTAATAGCCACAAAGGAGGGCAAGAATAAGACGCTACTCCTAGAATAAGATCCTACCACACTTGGTGAAAGGAAAAATATATACATAAACACATGCGTGACTGCAAGTGTATATTTTGCGGTTTTGTGGTTTGCGGTTTTGTGGTTTGTAAAGTGTGTGTGTGATTGGACTATTTGAAAGCACATTTTGTTGATATTTTTAATTTAAGTGTAAGTTTGTATGTGCATTTTTTAAACCACATATTGAAGATTGGTTATTTTGTTTTGTTCCATTGAAAGTATTCTTCATTATTAAGAACGTATAAAAAGCCTATCATTAAAAATATATTTCATGATTAATTTTCATAATGTTTGCGACAGTACATTTTCAAGGCTTCAAAGCCTATAATACAATAATAAATTTATTGTAAAGGAAATAGCTGTCGTCTTCAACAATGAAGAATTTCACTGTTTTTATACCAAAGCTCCGTTTGAATTTTCAGACCTGAGTAAGGATAATCAACGGCAAGCTAATTGGTTAATGTGGTCCTAGGGAAGTGATAGTTTTAAAGCTGTAATGAACTATTTGATATCAGCGTTAAAAAATTTAAAAGTTTATGTTAAGGGGCAAGAAAAGCATCAGTGGATAGCGGAGTTCCTCCAAAAGCCGGTGTTTAACCTTGAAGAGGAGAGTAAAAAATGTAATGGAATGAATCTTTTTAGTTTATATAATTTACTTCCAGATGTTGTGCGTTATGAGTATCATTTTCATAATGATTCTAATGCGCAAATCAACCGACTACCTATTCGTTGTGCTTTAAAAACAGCATATATTTTGTTCAAGTGGATAGTAATTTAAATTATAATGAAATCAAATAAAATTAGAAATTTTAAGATTAGTGTTTTTATTTTAAGGGCTAAGAAGAAGAAGAAAAGTAAGTATATAAATACATATTTTTCAAATATCAACCTCATTTTAAATTTCGGTTAAACACAAGTTTATTTAAAATTATAACAACAATGTTTATGCAAAGTAACAATTCCGCGAAACGACTTTCGGATGATGGCGATCAAAATCAGGAGGTATCGGTGTCCAACAGTTGTCAACGAACAGGTGCGCGTAAGATCCCTACCTTGTCGAATCAGGTGTATATGCGAAAGATTATGTGCGGTTCAGGCCCGTAGACGAAAACGAATGTGTTGTTTACGCGGTGCGGTGTGCTAACGAAAAATGTTGATGTGGCGCTCAGGCCCGTAGACGATAAGAGAATGAAATGGTATGTTGTGTTGTCCTGTGTGGTGTCATCTGGTGTGGGGTGAAATTCCTTGAGTGTTCACAGGTGTGGTGTGTTTCACTAGGGTGTGTCAGTTTTTCCCGAGTAGAGTGGTGCACTTGAAGGAGGGAGTTTAAACTCATTTAAACAAAATCAAAACTCGAAAAGTATTCAATTTAATTTAACATTACTGAATAGTAACGATATTTTACGAATAAATATTTCATTATTATTACTTAAACAAAGTGAGCTTCCTTTAACGCTCCTTAAACATGGCAGCATATAAATTATAAATTTTTTTCAATCTTTTATATCGGGAATAAAGTGAAATACAATTACATACATTTACTATTCCCTTGTATGAGTTATCAGCAAAATGACAATATTTCTTGTGTAATAATAAAATAAAATAAAAAATATTTGATGTTAATTATCAATTAAATCGGTATATTTTTTTTTAAACTTTTCTACATATTGCGGGAAAGACATTTTTTACTTTTTTTCCTTTTTATAGTTCTGTCTGCTTGAGTAAATTGATTGAAAAAATTAACACATTTCTAGAGCGAGACAGTGATTGGAGTTTAAGTGAAATTATTCATCTAGAAGTTAACATAAATAAATACCAACCAATTAGAGGCTCATCATATATACCACTACCAAATATAATTGCAGATAAAAATGCATGTGTTAATATTGTTAACAATGGTGTATATTGGTTTAAGTGAGCAATAATTTCATCTCTTTACCACCCCTCAAAACACAGAGAAAGATGATCTCTATGTAAAATTAGAAATAACCAAAATTCCATTATAACTTTATATAATGATAAAGTAGTCTATTTTGAAAATTTAAATTTCCCATTACAAGTAAAAGGTATTGAAATAGTTGAAACAAATTATCCAAATATAAGTGTAAATGTGTTTGTTATAGAGGACAATTTGGTAGTAGGTCCTTTTTATGTAACAAAAGAAGAAAAATCGCATCACGTTAATCTTATTTATTTATATAGTGATGATTTAAATGAAAGTCATTATGTTTGGACAAAAAATTTAAATAAATTATTTTGGTCTCAAGTTACAAGGCATAAGAAAAAAATATATATTGCGTATGTAATACATGTCTAATTTCTTTATTAAATTAACAAATGAGTCATGTTATATCGATGATTATCAGCATGCACAAAATGTTTGTTCAACATTTAATTCTTCCAATTTATTAGATTATTTGTTGTTATATTTAAAAGTAAATGTGCTACCCCTCAGTGACATTTTTGAAAATTTTAGAAATTTATGTAATGGAATTTATCGACTAGACCCATGTCAATATTATACATCTCCAGGATTATCTTGGGATGTAATGCTTAAATAACTAAAATAGAATTAGAATTGTTGACTGATGAAAACATGCATCATTTTATTTTGTCGGAGATTGGGGAAGTATTCAATTGCTAACAATAAATATTTAAGTGATTACGATGCGACTAAGCTTTCAAATTATATAATTTATTTAGATGTTAATAATATATATAGATATGCTATGTCACAATATATCACAATATATATGTTTTTAATATACCAGAAGATTCTTTAGTTGGTGACATATTAGAAGTAGATTTAGATTATCCCACAACCATTCACAATATTCATAATGACTTACCATTTTGTTATGAAAATAAAAAAGTTGGTTCAATGAAACACTCAAAGTTGATTGGTGATTTAAGGTCCAAAATAAAATATATTATTCATTATAAAAATTTACAACAATGTATTAAACATGGTCTTAAAATTCATAGAATTCTATAATTTAATCAATCGGATTGGTTAAAAAAATATATTGATTTAAATAATTATCAAATAAGTTGGAAGAAAAATTCTTTAAATTAATAAATAATGCGGTGTATGGCAAAACTATGGAGCATGTAGATAAAAGATAAAATGTTAAATTAGTGCAATATTGGAAAAATACGAGTATTGAGAGAAGCGGAGGAAAAAATTAGGTGCTAGAGCCGTAATAGCAAAACCAAGTTTCCAGCAAATTTTCTGATAATTTAATAGGATTCAAAAGAAACAAGTGTCAATTATGTACAATAATTCGATATATATTGGTTTTAAGGTTTTAGAACTTTCTAAATTTAAAATATATAGTTTCCATTATGATTATATCAAAGAACTCATTCG